ATAAAAGTAAATTTTAATACATGTAAATTACTGACCCGATCCAAAAAATGTGGGGCCATGGAATAATTTTTGATATTCTCACGGCTGATCAGCTGTGTGAAAATATCAGTGTGGAGTATCACGGGCGACCATTAGGAGACATGGGATAAAGTGATCTATTACACCATATGCTTCCGATGTTTAACGTTGGTTCTGTATGATTGTATTTAGTGATCTATTACACCATATGCTTCCGATGTTTAGCGTTGGTTCTGTATGATTGTATTTAGTGATCTATTACACCATATGCTTCCGATGTTTAACGTTGGTTCTGTATGATTGTATTTAGTGATCTATTACACCATATGCTTCCGATGTTTAACGTTGGTTCTGTATGGTCATATGTTTCCAAACCAAATGGTTGAACCGTTTTAAAAGACTGATTCGTCGCTAACGGCAACTGGACTGACCAGTCAGAAAGTTACTTACTTTTTAACTTATTATTTTTATAATAATAATTTATTTATTTTTTTTTATAATTTAGTTGTAGTAGTGGTCAATAACGGAGGCGAATTTCTATCCAACTATAAAATTTTTAAGTTTATTTCTTTGGTAATATTTTAAACTTTAGTTTGAACAAATTACTATAATTATAATTTATATATATACATTCTTTTTCTCTTTATTAATCATTATCATAATTTTTATTTTATGGCCAATAGCGGAGGCGAATTTCTAATAAGGCTATGAATTGAATTGAATAAACTGACTAAGTGAGTTTTCTATCCAAATACAAGATTTTATTAAACAACTGATATAAATAAAAAAACGAAAGCTGGTTATATTTTTCTACGTAGCTTGGTGTCTTTATTACTTAGTTTATAACATTGACTTAATGGTAGATACCAGAAGTTGAAGTCTCGACTAATACGTAACACTAGTTTCACAGATAACAGCTAATCTTACATTAAACATATTAGGTATAGTGCCAAAAAATTGCATGGTATTTTCACCTATTTTAACCCAACCCTAATTACAATAAAGTCGCGAATATTTTTTTCCTGCAATATACATGCTAACGTATTCGAGCCATATTTATATAAGACGCTCGTTATCTCGGGACGCTCTTTTAAGGATATATATATGCAATTTGGTGCTTAGATAATATTTTTTCAAATATGGTAAAAATTTTCGATTGCTATTGCTACGTACGTATCAGGGTATACAATTATAACATGTACGTACGTACGTACGAACAGACCTAATAAAAATTTTAGATGAAAGAGAGTACGTAGCACAACACAATTTCTAAAAAAAGAAAAATTCGTGTCCTGATCTGAGATTTTTTAAATGTCTTCAGACAGATACATAATTTCAGCACCCGGAAAAGTTATTTTATTTGGAGAACACGCGGTTGTTTATGGCAAGGTATAAACCCACAACTTTACAGAATTACATTTGTTCTCTTACGTTCATATATATAAACGCGCATATATGCATATGTTTAATAATTAATAGACGGCAATAGCTGGAAGCCTTGACAAATTACGAACGTATGCGTTCTTTGAAAAACGGATAGATGGATATCTTGAGTTGAACTTAACAGATCTCGGTCTTCAACGCGCCTTCTTGTGGCCTGCCTCCGCATTACCCTATAATTTAGTAAATAATGTTGATGTCAAAGGTGCTTTCATAAAAAATTTATGAAATTTTTTTTAAAAGATTTAATGAAATTAACATGATTCAATTTTTTTTTTTTCGGTAGAAGAACGTCAGAAATTGAAATTTAATGAAGTGCTTTTACATAAAATCAAATCAATCGCGTTTGACGGACAAGATAATCAAGAAATTAATAATTTCCAACAAATTGCAGCTTTCGCGTTTCTTTATTTATATACATGCTTGGAATATAATTCACAAACTTCATGGTATTTTTTCCCTTAAAATTATATAAAATTATATAAAATTATATAAAATTATATAAAAATTATTCATTGATAAACATTATTTAATATTAAATTTTAATTTTATTATAAGGAGTGGAATGACAATTCATGTTAAATCGAATATACCAGTTGGGAAAGGATTAGGGTCATCTGCCTCATATTCAGTTTGTTTGGCTACAGGATTGTTACTTGCTTTTGGTCATATTTCGTCACCTCGTGAAAGTAATGAACAAGACATTAAAAAAACGTGGGAATTGATTAATTTATGGGCATATCAAGCCGAAAAAGTTATTCATGGAACACCATCTGGTGTTGATAATTCTGTAGCTACTTATGGTAAGCTTAAAAATTTATGTATTTTGGTGTATTTTGGTGTATTATTGTGTATTATGGTGTATTATGGTGTATTTTGGCTAATATTATTATAATACCTTGCAGGAGGCGTTATAATGTTTACTAATGGTGTGATTCAAAATATAATGGGGTATTTGTTTTTTTTTTTTTTTTGATATATTGTTATATATATGATTTATTTTAAAATGAAAAAATCTTTTGAAAGCACACAGTCTTTACGCTTCTTATTAACCGATACCAAAGTACCACGCAACACAAAAATTCTAATAGAAAATGTTAGAACAAGGATTGAAAATGTAAAAGGCGTACTTTCCTTTAATAAAATGGTCATAATATATTTATATGTATAATTTTCAAATTATTTATTTATTTATTTATTTTAGTTTCCAAAAATTGGTAATTTGATATTGGATGCAATTCATGGTGTTAGTGAATCATTTAAAGAAATTTTGGAAAATGAAATAAGTAAGTGTACTAGCTTTACCTATGATTTTATTAATATCATACACATTATATACACATTATATACACATTATATACACATTAAATACACATTTAATTCAATTCACATAGTGGGTGATCAAGAACAATGTACGAAAACTGAGGTATTGTAGATATACCAAGTTTTTTTTATTTATCTTTTTAAATTATATCTATAAATAATTTTACAAATTTTTTTATTCATCTTCTAAATCATCTCTATAAATAATTTTATCAACTTAAAAAAAAAAAATAAATAATAAAATAGGGACTCATCGATATGTGCCATTACCTATTAAATTCACTTGGTGTAGGTCACCCAAGCCTAGATAAAGTTAGAGAAATAGCTGCACAATGTGATTTGCATACAAAACTTACAGGTGCTGGCGGAGGAGGATGTGCACTAACCTTGATTCGTAATGGTAATTTTAAATTAGACTGAAAAAATTAGTATGTGAAATATATAAAATTAATATATAAAAATTTAATTTTTATAGATGTATCCAAAGCACAAATCGAAATTGTCAAGGCGGCACTGACCGCTTCACCGCATTGTTTTGAATGTTATGAAACGTCAATCGGAGGACATGGAGTTGGGGTGCTGGATGCAAGTAGTGGTATGAACTTACAGGAATTCTCGGAATGCGAAAAGAATCAATTGGCAGAAATCATCGGATGGATGTACTTTGCCTAAATCCTAGATTGTACAACATAATTATTAGTTATTTTATTGGTTACAAAATTGTTTTTGGTTATTAATTGTGTCAATCATAATAGCATATAGCATTAAAGGTTACTGATTAAAAGATTAAGAGATTAAAAGTTTGAGAACACCACCATTTACGTGCGTACGTATGTACGTAGATACCTTTTTTTTTCTAACTCACGAAATCCATATATGTACGTAAGTACAATAGGGTTGAACAAGTTTGAATAGTGAACCTTAATATTAAAGGCTTAACATTAAAGTCTTAACATTAAAGGCTTAACATTAAAGGCTTAACGTTAAAGGCTTAACATTAAAGGCTTAACATTAAAGGCTTAACGTTAAAGGCTTAACATTAAAGGTAAAAGCTATAAAATTCTAACGTCATTTGAGTAATTTATGCCGGAAGAATATTAGTAATAAATATTTAGGTCACAAGAATTTCATTTTGAAAGATCGATACCAATTTAATCGAAAACAGAGGGGATATTAATTAATAGACCAATAAAGATGTAAGAATGCGTGAAACCTTTAACGTATTACATTGTCAGGAGAACTGATAATTTTCTGAATATCGTTACGAATTAACAAGAATCGAAAAGTATCTACGGTTCAACTTTCTTAATTTTATTCGATCAACGAAATAAATACCAAATTTAAACGAAATCGGATCGAATCAAATCGAATAGAATTGAGAATTTCCTAAATAAATTCGTTATTTAGGTCACGCCACTTAATGTAACGTTTACCTAAACCTTGTTTGTTAAAAATTTCAAAAAAATTCATGTGTGCGAAAAAAAACTGGGGGAATTTTTAACAAATATTTCCGAAAAGAAAAGATCTTCGTTAAAGGATGGTCGGGTCAGTGGGTAATAGTTATATAAGATGAGATGATAACGTATTATTTAGAATGTTCGATTAATATCGATAAAAAACACAAGCATTAAAGAAAATCCGGATGAACACAAAAAACACAAACAATAACAAAACATAAACACCCCGTTTCCAATGTAATAACTTTTTTAGGAAAAAAGGTAAATAAAATCACATGGTTACTTATAATATATCCTATAATATATCCTATAATGATTCTATTAATGTATTCTATTAATAATTTAGTGTATGCTACGTATAATGTATGTGTGAATATAATGTATGAACAATGTTAATGTATAATGTGTGAATATTAATGTAAGGAAAAATATTTACATTGAATTGACTGGTCCCTGACACAAGAAAAGAAAAGAAAGAACGCGAAACTTTAAGACGCGTACTCAAAACGCGCATTTATGAGAATTCTCTTATTTCTGTATTTCTGTATTTTTCTGTATTTTTCTGTATTTCTGTATTTTTCTGTATTTCTGTATTTTTCTGTATTTTTCTGTATTTTTCTGTATTTGATATGTTCAATACGTATGAAAATAATGAAAATGATTTGAACTAACCTAATATTGTTTGTTATACTCGCGATATACGTACGTACGTAGCATGAATGGGTATGTCCGATGAACTTTTTTTTGACGGATATGTAATGTAAATAAATAAATAGGCATAACCTCATTTTTTGAAACAATATACCCGAAAGGTATCTTTGCATTATCCAATAATCATTCTAAATCCTTTCCTCTTTTTTGCCAAAGAATTTCTAATTCACTCAAACACCTTGCATTACCATTGTTCTGTATAAACCAATTTTAGTCAATCGAACATAGAAGAATGAATTTCGATTATTTCGATTAACAATTCGTGATTACAATCAACGATATTGTACCATGGTCGTTTTTTTTTTTCCCTTACGTTATTGCGTTATCTAACTCTACCGGATTTGTATTTTGTTCTCCTTTTTCGTGTGATGGTCATTATGCATTATTTGGCATATATCCAAATTTGTTTAATGCACGAAAAAAAATTAATAATGAAATTCTCTCATTCTATGCGTATTAATCGCATTAACTAAAATTAAAATTTTGATTCATTTTATATTTCATTCATCGTTTATTCGTATCTATTTAGTTTTGTACGTAGTCAGGTCATCGTTTTACAATCGGATTTCATTGTTTAAAAAACTTAGTGGGCTTATTTTTTTTTTCTTAAAACGTATTAATTTACCAAAATTATGATAATGCGTTTTTTTGTTGATTTTTCTAAATTTTTTTTTTTTTTCAATTGTTGTCGTTCTCTTCTCCTAACAACAAAACAACAACAAAAAACAACAAAACAACAAAAATGAAAATTTTGTTCACAAATATTTAACAAATATTCAAACAATATCCCAAAGAACCAATTTAATAATAATAATATTTTTCTATTTGTTCTTTTTATTATCGAAACACGAAATTCAGATTATTGCCAGTAATCGAAAGGTAAGATACAGAAAAGTTTTTTGCCAGAAAAGTTCTTTGAGAAATAATAAAATAAAAAAAAGAAAAAGATAAAAAAAGTTATTCAGATTTTAACCATTTTGAACAGAGAAAGAAACGGATTTTTAGAAAAGACCAGGTAAAAATAAAATAAAAAGGGTATGGTAAGGGTAAAAGGGTCTATAAAGCACAGGCGAAAAAGAATACAAATGCGAAATGCAATGCGGTAAAAATGCGAATATAAAAAAGAAGTCTGCATAAAAGATTCGTGTATATAACCTATATAAATTGAATGAGTAAATGTGTTTTTGTAAATGATATTGTTCAAAAAAAAAATAACAGTTGAGAACAAAAAGAGCTAGATTCTAAAAAGTCCAAGAACCTATATATAAAGAGGACACGATTTTTCTTTCGAACATAAAATCTTGAAAAAAATAGGAGGAGAATAAAACGGTAGGATAAAATGCTTATAAAAAAAGACCATAAAAGTTTGTTGGATGGATTAAACATAATTTGTGTCGTATAACTCATTAAAAATTAATGACGCATATACAACAACGAGGAACAACGAAAAAGTGCGAAAAAAAAAGGAACCGCGAGTTAAAAAAGATTCGTATATTGTTTAAAAAAAAGGAATGAAGTATTGGAGAAAGAATAAGTGAAGAAAAAAACAAACAACAAAAACGAGAAACTGATCGAAAACAAACAATAAAAA